TAGACCACATCCACAGCCTTTCCCCCATCACTAGGCAGGTCACCTGGTCATGTTTAAGCGCACCATTTATAACCTGTTTCAGAAGAGCTTCTTTATGAATGAAAAGACAACTGAGACCCACATGGGTTAGGATATGGATATCCCCTTCAAGGCTCTTGAAGAAGCCTCTTTTCTTACCTCTAGGCAAATTACTGATCCTTGATGCTCTTTGAACACTTTCAACTGCTCACCAGTGACAATATTCCACGTTCGAATGGTATAATCCGTGCTGCCAGAAAACAGCTCCCTGTTTGGTGCGTCAAGTATAAGGCATAAGACAGCCCCAGTGTGTCCCAGCAGAGTCTGGTAACAGCGCCCACTGGACACCCACCAGACCTTAACAGTGCAGTCTGTGCTACCTGTCACCAGGAGGTCTCTGCTCACTTTCTCCTCCTCCTCCTCTTCTTCCTCCTCTTCTTCAAGAACATCCCTGGAGGAATAGTGAGCTAGAGTCAGGACACAGTTCCGATGGCCCCGGAATTCCTGGATTTGTTTCTCCTTGTCCACACTCCAACAGCGGGCCGTCCTGTCATAGGAGCCACTAAAGAGATAGTCCTTGGCAACGAGGATCCTGCAAAAAATAAAATTTGCATGTATGAACAGTATCATTCTTTTTACATAATCATTTTTGGTCACAATTTCAATGCCAAGCACCCTGAAGTTAAAAACAGTAGCATGAACACAACATATATAACCCCAATTCAGTGTCACTGTTTAATACACATTATTTATGAACTTATTTGTTGGGTGTTTTGTGGTTTTGGTTTTTTTTTTTTAAAAGCCAACACTTTCCTGTTTCTACTTTTAAAATTGAGACCACTGACCTATCAAAATAGCTTGGAATTAAAATAACAAAAAAAAAAAAAAAAAAACCACCAAACATTCCAGGAACGAGGACTGTAACTGACAGTGTGCAAAGATAATCATCTATCCATCATCAAATAGAGGGAGTGTGGGAAAAAAATATACACCTAATTTCACTTAGCCCAGGATCTCAAAAAAGGTAGAGCAAGCATACCCCACTTATAACATAACTGAAGAACAAATCAGAGATTACAGCTCAAGAATTAAACTTACTGGGCCTCTAAAATAATGAGTAGTAGCTGCACAAACATATAACAACAGAAAAATCTCTACAGTTCATATTCCAAACCAGAAAGAGGGAACATCAGAACCTGTCTTCTTTGTCAGCTGAGTTTGATCCTCTGGAACCTTTCAAACTGGCAACAAAGTCATATGAATAGGGAACACATTTCCCACTTGCTGATTCAAGCAAAAATCAGGCCAGTGCCAAAATATAGACAGACCCAGCCTTCCTAACTATTTACAGAATCTAGCTACACATTGTATGTGTTTTGAGTTTAGTAAGGAACAAAAAAACCCACCCACCCAAAAAAAAAAAAAGTAAGAAAAGAATACCAATCTTTGACTGCTCTATTTGTCATTAATTAAATCCAGTCCAACTATTAAGAGGCACTTTAAATTGACCGGCCAATCAGTCACACACAGTCAGTTTAATATTAAACTTCATTTGCACAATCAGAAATAGTAATTCCAGAAAAAGCCCTGACTTTATCCCTCTTACTGACACAAAGGCTTGACGTGATGTTTTTAAATCTATTTATCAGAAGCATCTGTTATCAATTGAATAATTTCTTCTGGAATTTCATTCCTAGCCCTGGATTCAATTCCCCTGCTGTGTGCCTTTCATTTCTCTCCTATCTGCTGTCTATGGATGTGTCAGCACTGTTGCTAGGAAAACTAATCATTACAGCACAGAACACGTGTAGCATGAACTCAAAGGTTTACACAACCCATTTTATTAGTGTAGTAATGGGGAATTGCAGTAAAATGACAATATATGTGATAATAGATTACAGGAACACAACGGAAGAATTCCACGGAACCAACCTGTTAACAATTGATGTGTGTCCTCGGTAAATGGCCAGGCACTGACCTGTCATCACATCCCACTTTCGAATGGTATGATCTGCACTACATGTGAAGGCAGCCTCATTTTCTAAGTGGCAAAAGGTGATGTAACTTTCATGTCCTAGGAATAACAAAGGAAATAAATTCAATCGCTGTGCATGCAAGCAGGACAGACTAGTTGAGCTCTTCACCTTAACTAAAAGAAAAATAGAAGAAGCAAACGGACTGAAACTCTAGTTTTAAATGCACCACCATGTTCTTCACATTTAAGGATTTGTATAAAACACAACATTTTTAATTAGCAGCAGAAAACTCTGCTTCATTGATACAAGGATTAAGTGAAAGAGTAAAACAGTACAGTTCTACCAATCAGGTAGAACAAACAGTATTATAAAAACGTAATGAGCTGAATTAATATCAGTATAATAAAACTCAGATTACTGAAGTTCAAAACCAGTAAAAAATCGGCTTATTTTTTTAATAAAGAAATGCTTTTGCTTCCTTCTTCTGAAGTCAGGAAAAAAAGACTACATTTCCACCCAGCCCATTGATTGTCAGGACACAAACAGCCCTAAATTAAAGCATGAAACCATGAAAAAAGGAAGTGACATGAGACTTACCAGCAAGTTCAGTTTCATTGTGCAAGCAGAATGAAACACAAACAAAAAAACATATCTGGTAAAAAGTCAGCCAATGCTTTCCCCATGATGACTAATAACCCATGATGAATAAAACCCATAATTTTCAAACTATCAGTATACCTTTAAGGAAATGACACAAAAAGAAAGAATAAGAGCACAATTATTTATACAGTATTCAGAGTATGTTGGGATTCTACAGTTACAATAAAAATAGACACAACTCCAAAAATTTCATCCTGAAAAACAGGGTAATGCTAGTGAAGAGGAATCAATATTACAACTTTAAGCTTTTGTTGTTGCTTAGCAAGATGTGTCATTTTTCTATTGTATAATTAAATGCACCACATTTAGAAATCACCTTAGGATTCAAGTCCCAGCTTTGTCCAAGATCTCTTGTGAAATTGTTGTCACCTATGTAATCGTTGGAATAGCATTATCTTGCACTCTTCTGTTTTAATTATTTAGACTGCAGGCTTTCAAGATCAGAACTGTTCCCTGTTAAGCAACTATCACAAGACAGTCCCAGACTTTGATTGAAGGTGGTGGGCCCTACTGTGATTTAAATAACACTATTCTTTGAGGAGAAAAGTAAAAATATAAGAAGGACAAATGTGATTAAAGAGAGACAGATGGACAGACAAAGATATCAGAAAAACAGAATCATGTTGTAGAATAAAGAGATGGTAAAAAAAGGGAGGGAAAGCAGACTGCCCAGTAAAACACTTTGTTTCACTGACTGCAAAAAAACGGATTTTACTACAACTCCTGTAGTTCAAAAGCCTTGTTGTAGTTCAAAAGCGAAACAGAATCCACGCTACAAACACACATCTTGTTTCCTCTTAAGCAAATTCACCAGACGCCAAAAATTAAACAGATCACCAGGGATATAAGCAAAACTATACCCGTTCTCACATTTCTGTGAAAACTTTTTGCAAAGCAGCTTAAATGGGACAGGTTTCAACCCTGGGATTTTTCTCACAGCATCATGTAATCCTGCTCTGAGAAGATCAAAAAAGCATCTTGGTTACTGCACCAAAGTCTGTCAGTCAGACTTCAACCATCAATAATACTCGAGTCACACAAAGGATGCCAAAACCCCCTGTGGCAGACAAGGTCTGGTGCTGGTCTGGTCAAAAGCAGCCACCACAGAAGTCTGTTGGTTATGCTGTGGTGGAAGCTTGAAACTGTGCTATAGATACAGGTTTATCAGTAATTGTAGCTTGTATGATACAAATTTACACAACAACGTGTATGCATGCATAAATATAAAATACATACAATCATCTGATTCGACTGACAATTCACAAACCATCTAGCCAACCTTCTTTAGACTTTACCCCAAACATTAGCAGTACATAGGCCAGATTCTGAATATTATCCAATATATTTCTCTTTCCAGTTAAAAGTTAATTAGTGGTTTAAAGGGATTTCTAAACCTAAAGCAAATGCAGTGAGTTTTCCAGGAGCTAGAACCATGACAGGATGTGGGGAAAAAAGACAATACTCCATAGTTAAAAACAAGCAAGAAAACAAACAACCAACAACAACAAAAAAATCACAGCAATGTGATTTCTTCTTTGGAAGAAAAAAGGATCAGAAATTCCAAATTTAAGAGCTTTTTTTCCCCTGTATTAAGAGAAAAGAACATAAGTGTGTGAGAATACAAACATCTTTAGTCCACATCTGACTCCTGCATGAACTTTCTACAGAGTTTTTCTTTTCTTTTTAATTATTGAGATGCTAGTCTAAGGATAATAAATTTTGTTTAAAATGTAAAATCAATTTAAAATGAGAAAGCCCAGCAATTAACATTTCTGTGTGTCCAATGTGGGGAAAAAAAATAGCCTATTTATTAAGGTTTCTTTCCAGACTTCTGGGTCAAGAGGTTCTTAATAAAGATTGTCTGGAAAATGAGATGATTAAAAGGACACAAAAAAAAAGGAAAGAAAAGAAAAGAAAAGAAAAGGGAGAGAGAGAGAGAGACAATAACAAAAAGTCCAGATTTCATCAGGGTGTAAAACAGAGTGCTTCCAGAAAGAGACATAAGTTAAACAACTGCTATGTTCCACACCCTGAGATAAAAGGATCCATGCATTCAGTAGCACTGGTAACCTGTTTTGGGTTGAAACAGCTTCTGCTTAACATTACTGTAACCAATAGTCAAAAAAACACAAAACAAAACAAGCATGATTTTGGCTGCCCAGCAGGCTGCAGTGACTGAAAGAGACCAGAACATGCTGTGTGGCCTGTGCCAGGCTTTAGACTCAAAAACTAGACAAAAAGAAGCTATTGTACCTTGGAAGTGGCCATGGCACTGGCTGTCAGCAGTGCTCCAGAGCCGCGCAGTGCCATCCTCACTACCCGTGAGCAGGCGCTGCCCATCCGGGCTCAGGCTCAGCCAGTTGATGCCTCCTTGGTGATCTGTGCAGACCTTACCCACTGTCCCCCACCCTGCCGGTCCCAGCGAAGGCAGAGGCTGCGAGTCAGATCATAGGCGCTGCACAACCCCCAGACCATGCTCTGGACCTCCAGCCGTCTCCCACCGACCAACTTCAGCCATTACCTCAACTCCGAAAAATCATCAGGGTAGTCGAGACTCCTGCACAGGGACGCAAAGGAGGAAGAGGAGGGCACGTTAAATCATTTCATCTCCCCCGTGGATACATCACTTAGTCAGGGTGTGCTGAAGCCATCGAGTACCCCTTTCTCCGCAGGAACCGAAGCCCTACCGTGGAAGACGGCCCTTCAACACAGGCTCACTGGTGCGCCTTCTCCATGGGCAAAGAGGTACGCCCAGCCCCTCGGAGAGGACCCAGCCTGGACGGCAGCGGTACCGCTACCTGGTGCCCTGC